CATCAAGAGGAAGACCTGATCGTAGCTCAGATTTGCTGCCATTATTCACGCTTTAGTGCAGAGGCGAGTCCTATACACTTCCCTCTGATCACCGCTTTATGGGCTTCCCAAATCGTGATTGGAGATATGTCTGGTGTGGAATTAATGGCCAAATAGTCTTGGATAGCCTCTCTTATGGAAGAGATATTGATTTCATTTGATAGAAGATATTCGTTGAGGGACCAAGATGGGGAGGAGGAGGTTGCAAGTATGGAAGAGAGTGGCAGGGTAACTGCGGAATGGTCCGACCAAGAGATGGGTAGAATGGTGGCGGATTGGACCAAAGGAAGCGAGGTTTGGGTGAGGAAAATGTGGTCTATTCTAGAGAAAGAGTCGTGAGGAGGGGAGTAAAAAGTATACTCTTTTGTAGTGGGATGTATTTCTCTCCAGGCATCTACCAAAGTGTGTTGGGTTAAGAGTGTAGAAAATGGTGAGGTGGAGACAGAGTTAAAAGGAGTTGTAGAAGATGTGTCAAGAATAGGAGATAGGGATAGATTAGAGTCTCCACAAAGGAGAAGAAGGCCCTTTCGATGCTGAGCCACAATAGAGAGGAGATGGCGGAAAAAAGACAGAGGGTTAGAGTTAGGGGCATAGTAGGTCACAACGGTAATGTCTTGATCATTGAGGCGGCCAAGCAGGATCAAATAGCGACCTGCAGGGTCTACAATTCCTCTAATACAGTTGAAATTAACTCTGCAGTGGAAGCCTATCAGGACTCCCACCAGATGTGGAGCATAGTGCCTGGGGGCAGTGCAATGGCAATAGCAGTAAGGGGATGATGAGGGAAAGATACAAGCTAATCTAGACGGAACATAGTACCATCGCATTAAAACTTTGTAGTTGGTCTCCACTGCCACCGCACATCAACCTGATCGTAGCTCAGATTTGCTGCCATTGTTCACCGTCCTTAGTTAAATCAAGGTCACGTTTCCATTGTTACATATAAGAGTGGGAAGAGGGGGTAGGGAGGTGTACAAGGGAAGCATAAAGTGAGGCGATTACTCCCTTAGCATGCGGAGAGTGTAAGCAGATGTGTTCAAATATGGAGAGGGAAGAGCGGGTGGGATTAGGACCTAGCATGGTGGTCAAGAAATGGCGGATTTGTATGTAGCGGAAAAGGTCTGTATGGAGCAGGTCGTGTTTAGATCGTAAAGTTGAAAAGGGTTTAATACCGTTTTGGTCAAGGAGAGATCGAAATAGCCTTGCGTTACCGGCGGACCATCTGGAGAAAGCCGAGGGGTGCTCTATAGCGGGGGAGAAGGCCGGATTGTGGATAAAAGAAAGAAGTGGTAGGTGAGGGGAGAGAAGATGCGCTGAATATTTCACGGAATCCCATATTTTCAGTGAGTGGAGAGTTATTGGGTTATAGATGCGGGGTCTATGTGCGGGAGGTGACCAGAGTAGGTTGTGCACTCCGAGAGGGTCACAGTCCACAGCTTCAAGAGACACCCATAAGGGGGTGTCTAATGAGGCTTGATATTTGGTCAGGGGAGCGATTTGTGCCACCCTATAAAAGTGGCCTATGCTAGGGACCCCTAAACCACCTAAGGGTTTAGGGAGAAGCATTGAGTGTTTAGAGACATGGGGATTACAACCCGCCCATACAAAGTGCATCACCTGTCTCTGTAATATGCGATTGATCTGAGAGGGTATAGGAATCGGGAGGACTCTGAAGAAATATAGCAGTTTGGGGAGATAGGTCATTTTAATAGCCGCTATACGGCCCATGAGAGAAAGGGGGAAGCAGGAGAGGGGCCTATCAGGACTCTCTTTTTGACGGCAGTGGAGGCCATGTACACTTGTAAAAAATATTTAGGGGTAGAGGAATGGGAGAAATTAGTTTCCTGTAGGCAGATAATATCTGCACGGAGAGAGTTGAGGTGTCAGAATGCTAAAGTTCGTTTATGTGGGGAGTTTAAACCCTTAACATTTAGGGTAAGTAACTTAATGGAGGACATCATGGGGGGTGAGTGTGCTGCTCAGTATAGCTTGCAAGTAACATGGGTGCGGTAAGAGTGAAAGACATTGTGTTGGCTGGGGAACCTGAGTGAGATAAGGAGACAGAATAGAAAGGAAAGAGGGTGCAGGAGGAGAACATGGGAATCATTGAGAATAACATTAGATCAGCAAAACAAATTGTACTGGTACAATAAAAACAACAAACAACTGACTGAATTAGAGAGATGCACGCTAGATGCATCACTCTATCAGGCTGTGGTAAGGCGTACAAGGGGGGAAATCCCACCAATGGAGGTCTAGAAGGAGGCAACAGTGGTAATCGCCTCGGCACACAGGCAGTGAAGAACAAAAAAAATCATTATAACTAGCAAACAGCCCCCGTAAATAACGATTAAGAAAATTATGGGGTAACATCGCAATAAAACAGACAGTACTCAAAGTTACAGATGGTAATTAAAGGTAATACTCATCAAACCAAAGAAGTGGGCATCAAACCCCATAGGGTCAGCGAGAAAATCGCTACGGAGTTAGGTTGGACAATCCCTTAGGATATAATGAACTTGGGTAGTCAGCCTGGGGAGTCCATGTCAACAGCTTGCGTTAGGGACATCTTCTTCCGGACTGATTTTGATAGTGATGTCGTCAGGATGGAAGATGGCTCAGACACGGAGGTTTGATGGCGTCGCTTGGGCTGAGCAGCTTTTTGGGGTTCAGACAATGGTAGTAGCTGAAGATCAGCGAGAACGCGGCACAGCTTTGCAGGGGTTGATCTGTGGTATTGGCAACCGTTGTAGGCAAAGGAGAGGCGAAATGGGAAACGGTAAGCAATTTGGTGTTGTTGGAGAATCTGGAGGAGAGGTTTAAGTTCCCTGCGTTTGGCAATTGTGGATGGAGCAATGTCTGCAAAAATCTGGTATGGAGAGCCTTGGAATGAGAGTGATTGTTGAGCACGGGCAGCTTGAAGGATCGCTTCTTTAGTGTGAAAGTACAAAAACTTAGCCACCACATCCCTAGGTGGGCCCTCTGTATTTTTTTCTCGTTAGGGCACGGTGGACTCTTTCCATTTCCAGGCGTTCAAGCGGGATTGCTGGAATTAGTTCCTGAAGCAATGCAGTGATAGTGGATTGTAAGTCCATTACATGTTCAGGGATTCCTCTAAAACGCAGATTGGAGCGTCGTGAGCGATTTTTCCAAATTTTCTATTTTAGAAGATAGGAATTGATTGTCGTCACAGAGTTTATTGAGATCATCAGCATGGGTATTAAGATAACGGTCTGCATTATCCATGCGGATCTCCAAATCAGCAGTGCCCTGTCCCAGTTCACATATTTCACGTGATAATTGGTTAGTAATCTGCTTAGAAGTAGCAGCCAATGCTTTATGAAGTGTACGGTCAATTTTGTTTAAAGGTGCCTGTGATTCCCGTGTGGGTGAGATAGAGCTGGCATCACTGTCTTCAGCTGCAGTGCTGTGATGAGTGGATGGAGTGGGGGCAGGGCCCGTCTGAGTGTGAGGTGACGGCGCCATTTCGGATGCAGCCTTTGCAAGGGCCTCCTTGATCGAGGCGCCCCGTGGAGGCTGTTGTTTGGAGCCGGGGCGAGACATCGGTGACCGGGTGAGTGGCGGCAGCAAGCTGTATATGGCGATGTGCCCTTCATGTGGGAGAGGCTGTGTTATGTGCCTGTATGTGCGGAGGCGACACAGAGCGGGCTCAGGGCACGTCCAGTCTCGGCCGCTGTGTGCATGCGCCTCCTAAATATATATTATTGATGAATGTTTTTGCTTTTATCAAAACCAATGCTTTTGTCAAACCATTCAAACCGATACCAATACATGTCTGTGCACACATTACACTGGTTTTCTTAAAAGAATGTGTGATACAGCTGACATTGGCAGGATGTTTAAAACTGCACTTATCCAGGTTTTAATAACCTTGATAAAGGTTGGAGTATTATCCAAATCATCAATCAATTAAGCACTCAAGGTATCTGCCAAAAAGGTTTCAAGAGAGTTCCCAAATGGCTATCTATCTATCTATCTATCTATCTATCTATCTATCTATCTATCTATCCATCCATTCTAAGTATACATAAAAAGAAACACAGAATAAGAAATATAATAGATACACTGTTATTTTGCTCAAGTTTCACAAGATAATGGCTATTTCTAGCAAGCCAAAATGTTCTCTTCATGCCCTCTATTAACACTTGCTGTATCTGAGGGGCAGGTCACCTATGAAAGGAGCATTTCTCCCTTGAGGCCATGTATGGTTAAAAAAATTCAACAGATTCTTAATGAGCTCATGAATAGAATAGACTCATGTTCACTCTATACAGAATATTAATTAGCTCATTATTTCAACCACTTAAAAATAATAATAAATTATGCATTTCATCACAAACCCATGTAAAATATAGCAGCATAGATAACCTTGTTAACACCAGGAATAAAAATGAGTGCTGCCATATGTATAGCTGTACTAGATTTTTAATAAGGCAGAATAAACAAAAAGACTAGGGAGACAAGCTGCATGAAAGTTACACCTTCATTAGGAGCTTGTGACAGAGAATGGAGATACACTCCATTCTCTGTCACAAGCTGTAGCAGGGAAAACATACCATTGAAGTATCTGAGAGATAGATTCAACAGATAATTCACCCAACTGTTGCCCATCCAAAATCAAATATCAGTTTTGGGATGGAGTGGATATTAAAAGCCAAGACTCATATGGCTAGATTTACCAAAGGCAAATTAGGTTGTTCACTTTGCAAGGTAATTTCCCTTAGGTTAGTGAATGTGTAGAAAGATTCCATTTGCACAGCATACCCAATCACATGCAATAAAAATAATTAGTACATTAGAAGTCAGCAAAGCTTCACCTTATTCACTAACTTAAGAGAACAGTCTATTTATACTTAGTATATCAACCCCATAAAATCACATAGGATGACCTTTCTAATGAAGTCATTATTATTTTAGTGATATATATTATTTATACTTACAGTGAATTTCTAAGAGCTGCATTGCTATATGTGGTGTAGAGTTTAGTGATTCATGGTCAACTCTGCAGCGGACAATTGCACCATCATCTTTGCGATCCCCTCGGAAATCCAGAACACTAATAACTGTGAATGTCTTTCCATTACTATCTTTTTCTTGTAATTTTTGTACATCTGTAAAAAATGAAAAGTTCAGTCAAAGAGTCAATGTGATAGTATGAAAACACAAATAAATGTCATGCTTATGTTTTATTGAAATAATGTCTTTGTACGTAGATAAACAAAATGTACAGTCCTATTCAGTGGAGAGTTCTTATTCTGAAGTTCAAATTCTTGTGTATCTAAGTTCATCTCTGTTCCCTCTGGGGAGAGGTTTTCTGTAGTTCACAGAGGTAACCTTGGCACAACTGGCGAGAGTTTTTAGAATCTTAGTGCAGCAGATGCACAGTGTTGTAAAATCACTACTGGACTTCTAGCTTTTTTTTTTTTTTTAACTTAGAAAACAGATATAACGAAACATCTTCAATGGTATATTTAAAGTGACACTAAACTTAGAAATTATCAGGGTAATTCACAAAAGAGGGAAGAGTTTGGAGAAGGCAGGAGAAGTGAACAATCTAGGACAACATAGCCGGACTGCAAAGTGAGCTAAATTAGAGAATTTTTTCCAAATCAGCTATGTTGTCCTAGATTGTTCACTCCTCCTGCCTTCTCCAAACTCTTCACCCTTTTGTGAATAACCCTGGGAATCTTAAAAATGCATTCAAGTACCTTACTTATTAACAAAAATGTATCTCATTTATGTATCACTTGGCTGTAGATCTTCAAATCAACTCTAAATTTGTGCTGACACAGTCTTTCCTTTAAGAAAGTGGCTACTTGTGTTTCCCATGGTCCCTGTATGTGTTGTGAAGTAGATACTGCTCCAAGTTCACTCCCGGGATGGATTACAATCTCATATTTAGTTTACTAATTTGTATTGAGATTGTATTGAGATTGTAGTCCATCACGGGAGTTATTTTGGAGTGCAGGCTACTTTACAACACACACAGGGACCATGGGGAACAAAAGTAGCCACCCTCCAGAAGGAAGGACATTGTGAGCAGGAATTCGGAGATGATTTGAGGATCTACAGCCGAGTGATACACAAATAAGCTATATTTTTGCTAATAGTTAGGGTAATTGAATGCATTTTTGACATTTAAAGGAGAATTATGGGGTGAGTGAAAAACACTCATCCCCATAATTCAAGCCAACCTGTGTCACTGAAGCTGTCACAGGTCATCTCTATTGATTGGGAAGTCAGTGAACACATACTGCCGATTGCTGACTTTCCCGATCCTCTCCCTGCACAAAGAAGTGACTGTCAGTCACTGCTTCCTGCAAGGATTCCACCCTCCCCTCTCCATTTCTCCAGCACTGACAGGAGGAACAGACAGGGGAGGGGGTGGGCCAGCTGTCAATCAGATAGCGGGGTGGATCTCAACAGTATTGTCAGGATCCGTCCCCGCTGCGGTGCGGCTCAGCAAATAGAGTTTTGGTTCACCGGAGGTCATTAGTATATGTTCTCATGTGACCCTAAAGAGGATTATGGGCAAAAAAGGTTGCCCCATAGTTCTCCTTTAACTCCTAAGTTTAGTGGCCTTTTAAGGTAGTAAAAGGGAGCATATAAGAGAAGTTCATTGTTAGAGTATATATACACTTTTGAGTGCATCCTCTCCCAGTAAACTGTTAGAGATTGCTGTGCTGAAGTCAGACATTTTAGATTCACATTGCTGCATTTTAGAATTAGCACATGGGAACTAGAACTCTTGCACAAGAGTATTAAGAATGCAAATGATATTGTAAGTCACAGGTATTCTTTTTGGTAAGGTATTTTTGAGAATATAGGAAGTCATCTTTTGAATCTCTCGTGCTTGTTTAATAAACGAGTAGGAGGGCAAATGTCAAAAGCAAGGGGCCATAACTCACTGCAACTAATTAGACTTCAGCTTAATGAAGTCAGATCAGTTAAGAGGTGATTCCTGAGATAGGGCTTTGCAAATAACCATTGCACTACAGTCCTCAGATTTGTTTTCTTTTTAAATGTATGTTACACAGATAAGATCAAAAAACAATGTCATGATTGACCTATAAAAATTTTCATCACAAAATGTATGCTCTTAGTTTACTTCCATAAAATGTTTTGGATTCATTGCTCCAATGCTCCAGGAATGCTCTAACCCAGTTGTGTAATAAGCACACTCAAAATGTATTCCTGTTATCATGGATAAATAATTATTAGACCATGGTAATGGGTGAAACATGGGAATGGCTTAACCAATATATGGACATATTTGGTGCATCTAGGAGAGGTTTCTTTTGGCTAGGTTCTAAACTTTTCCCATCTGAAGTTTTAAAAAATGTGCATGGTATAACTTAATATCAGTCTAAACCCAAGCACTAAAATCTCAAAGAATATTAAAAATGTTATGTAATTTCAAAAGTTTTTCTGAATTGCTTTAATTTTACATCTTTCATTAAATTAATAACTGATAGTTCTGGAGTAAAGTTTCTACTTTTTAATGCAGGGACAGTGCTCTGACTTTGTGTATCAATTGCTCTCTTGTGTTGCCACCCTGTCACATGCAGTTCCAGTAAACACTACAAGCAGCTCTTGCAGTGCTTATTGGAAAGGCATGGCAGAACAGTGGCGTAGTGGTTAGTACACATGTGCACAAAGAAAAAAAAATTCCAAACAAAACAAATGAAAACAAAAACATTTTTCGTTTGTTTCGTCTAAGGAAACACATTTTTATGTTGTTTCGGGTTTCGAGACAACAAGCCTCTAAAACCGCACACTGAAACCGCAGAACGAGGCGATATGGCCACCGGCGTGTTCTGCGCATTGCGCACCACCATTTTGGAGTAGATCTTGGTATACACCAAGATGGCGGCACCCCACATGTTCAAGCGTTGCCATCTTGGTGTATACCAAGATCTACTGCAAAATGACGGTGCACATGCACAGAACGCACCGGTAGCCGATCTGGCTGCTGCTCGGTCAGCGTGTGACGTCAACGTCATGCGACATCACACGCTCCACCTCCAAGATGCCTGCAAGCATGTGCAGAACACGCCAGCGGTCAATATAGCAGCCGGCGTATTCTGAAAACGAATTTATGTATGCTTGAATATTGTTTCAGTATATTCGCGCATACATTAAATTTGTTATTTCAGATCCAGACGAACCGCCGAATTAACTGATTTTCGTTGATTTGCAGTTTCGTCCAAATCCGAATGCACATGTCTAGTGGTTAGCGCTTTTGCCTTGCAGCAGTGGGACTCCCTTCCCTGGTTCATATCCAGGTCAGGTCACTATCTGCAAGGAGTTTATATGTTCTCCCTGTGCTTGTGTGGGTTTCCTCCGGGAACTCTGGTTTTCTCCCACGCTCCGAGGAAATGCTGGAAGGTTAATTGGCTCCTGTCTAAACTGGCTCTTGTATGTATGTATGGATGTGAGATAGGGACCTTAGATTGTAAGCGCCTTCAGCGCAGGGACTGATGTGAATGTACACTATGTAAAGCGCTGTGTAAATTGTCGGCGCTATATAAATACCTGTAAAAAATAAGTAAATAAATATTTCTCGAAACATAAAAAAACAAGCAGTGTAAGTACCTACATGTGACCTGGTATCAGCCTTTTTCAATTCCCTGTATAACAGAGATCATACTGGGAAAGTAAGAAGCTGAACAATAAGTCAACCAGTAGGGCTCATGTACTAACAAAGAGCATACGGATAGGAGAGAGCATAGTAGTAGTAAAGAACTGATCACATTAGTCTGTTCTTTTTCCTTGTGTTGTCTCCACACAGGCTTGGGAAGAACCAAACTGTAAGTGTTACTTAAACACAACACTGAAAAATCTGAATTTCTGCCCTGCCAGATGGTTTGTGTTTTTAATACCCCTGCAAATCCATGAAGTTAGACTTTGGTGTTTCAGATTGGGTCACAATAATTAGAACATCTTTGGAAAGTATGCAGATAGAACTTGTCTTATTTATTCCTTGAGATATCTAGGGTCTGGTGTTCTCTTTGTTATTGACATGTGTAATGTCATCATGCCAAGATCAATAGGGCTCTCTGAGACCTTCATAAAGAAAGCTGTGAATGCCTATGAGTCTGGCAAGGGAAAAGGATCACCAAATGATTTGAAGTGAAATATTCCACTGAAAGGAGAAAATCTACAAGTGGTGTCGATTTCAAACAACTGTTATTCTGTCAGTGTCAGAGACTGGAGGGAAGTTATGCAAAATGCCTACAAGAAGTCACATCTGCTAACGTAGGAAATACCACCTACTAATGCCGAGGATGTACTTTTTCCATGGTAAACCATTATATCTAGTAATATTGAATACATTATTGAATGGGCACTTTTTTCTTTATCTGCAGGCACTGTTGGGATAAGGATCTAATGTTAAAATATGTTGAAACAGGTAAAGATATCTTTAACGCCACTACATGATGTACCAAGCAGCATGGGGAACCACTGTGTGTGGCAAAGAAAACAGCTATTTGAAACATCCGACCAATCAAATACTTGTAGTGGCTGGGCAGCAGCATTGCAATGTTCCAAGACATGGGCTTCCATAAAGGTGAGTATAGTGCCTCTTCTTTATCCGGGCTTGACTTTTTGTTATTTGACTCTGAAGAGACAGGATCACTTTAAAGTGACACTAACCTTAGCAGTTAAATCTTAACAATGCATTCAAGTACCTTAACTATTAACACAAATCTTATTTGTGTATCACTCAGCTGTAGATCCTCAAATCATCTCTGATTTTGTGCGCACACTGTCCTTCCTTCTGGAGGGTGGCTACTTTTCTTCCCCATGGCGTGTGCTGTACAATTGTTTAATTTACTAATTTGTATTGAGATTGTAGTCCATCACAGGAGTGAGATTGGAGTGGTGGCTAGTTTACAACACACACAGGGACCATGGAGAAAAAAAGTAGCCACCCTCCAGAAGGAAGGACAGTGTCAGCACCAATTCAGAGATGATTTGAGGATACACAAATAAGATACATAGTTAAGTTGCTTGAATGCATTTTTAGGATTTGATTCCTGAGTTTAGTGTCACCTTAAGTCTGCTTCAAGAACCTTAATAATCAATCAGAGACAGCTCCCGCTTGGTAAACTCTAATCTGATATCATAAATACAATAAAAATGATAGAGGAGTCAACATTTTCTAGAAATCATTATACTAATAGAAAATATGTGGTTCACATGGAATGCATTTTTTAAAATGGAATCAGCAGATACATTGACAGAAGCAATATTAATAAAGGTTAAACTATTACAGCTAAACTTTGCAAAGAGTATATAAATGCCGAATGAAACCGTCAGTGCAGTCACACTCTGCATCTTATCTGCATGCCAGATGGTATGACAGGTTGAAGTGGGCAGGCAAATTTGACACAGTTCACATATATTTTTCGTTGCACATTTTCAAATTATATTCATCCTCAACCAAATGCAATCATGTAAAAAACAGGACACATCCTTAGAAGCTTTGGAGAAAATAAATTTCAAACTAAGATTATTAATATCTAACATTTTTCGTGACATAGCTACAAGTTAGTTCAGCTCCTGTGATAGAATGAATAGTTAATAACACACCTAAAGAAGAACTCTAGGAAGCACTGTTTGGGATTGCTTTATACAAGAAGCATTTTTACCTAGGTTTTGTTAATTTCAAACAGGATTTAGTTAAGCTGTAGTGCTGCTGATCTCCTCACGTCTATGTGCAACAACTTACTGTCTACATGCATGTGATCTTGGCCTTTCTATCCATCATAAAGAGTAGAACAGTTTGGCTCCAGTTCTACTGTAAATACATTTGCTGGAATCTTAAGGTCCATGGGGGTTGGACCTTTTTCTAGTGTAATGTAGATGTGATACAGTCTGTGTCTTTGAAAGGGTGTTGGAGAGCAGATACATCGCCCCCCCCCCTTCCCCCCCATGTAGAGAAGCAGATCAAGTTGTTTGTATACAGAGCAAAGGCAATGCACCATTCCTTCTAGCATAATATGGTATTGCAGTCAGTAATGTAAGCGGGGAATACCGGGAAGACATCTCCACAAAATTCTCTCAACACCCTGGATAAAACCGATGCCTGCCTTGCTCCCCCCTCATTCCCCAACCAAAGATTAATAGTGCCATGATCATGTTCTGTATTCCCTGGTGAAGTTTAACAAAAGATAAAGAGGATTATTCACAAAGCTAGCTGAAGGATCGGCCGTAGCTGCGGCTGATCTGTCAGCTAGTTTCGGCCGCCGGAGCCCTTCGGTTCAGTAGAACTGAAGGGCTGCGGTACGGGCTCCCGAAGCTCCCAAAGCTGGCCGAGTGGCTTAGTCGAGCCCAAGGCATATGCTTCGGCTCAACTGTGCTGAAGTGAAACCCGAAACGGGCCAAACTGCCGGCCGAACTGCTGGCCGAACTGCCGGCCATGTGCTGAAGTGAAACCCGAAGCGGGCCGAACTGCCGGCCATTAGCAGGCGAAAGCTTTACAACTGGCAGCTGGGTGGAGCCAGCTGTGATCTCATGGCTGGCCCCGCCCAGTTGCAATGACAGATCAGCATCCCCAGGTAACCTGGGGATGCTGAACTGTCATTAAAGAATGACAACTTGGCGCCCTGTTGTTATTCATTGGCCGTGACCTGCTAGAAGACTCTAGCAGGTCCTGGCCAATAGGAAACAGTTGGGGAGAGCTAGCTGTCACTGCTAGCTATGCCCAATTGTTTCTTTAATTTTTCATTTTTTTTCTTTTTTCAATTATCTTTATTTATTTATTTTTTAAAATAATCTTTATTTTCATTTTTTTGTTAAATCTTTATTTATTTTGGAAAAAGTTATTATTTATTTACATTTGTGAACATTTGTTTGTACTTAAAAAAAATTCCAACTTTTTACTTTTCTCCCTGGCGCTCTGGGAACCTCCTGCTCCCGGCCGCCCAGGAGAGAAACACTGCTTTTTCTTTTTTTTTTTTTTTTATTCTGACATGCAGCCATTAGCTTTTGTCAGAATAGGAAGAGAAAAAAAATTCACCATAGGAAGGCATTACTAGATTCCTATTGGCTATTGCAAATTGAAATAGCCAATAGGAATCTAGCAATGCATTCCTATGGCGAAATTTTATTTTTTTTTGGATGGCAGCAGAACCGCTGGCCAATAGAAAACAGTTGGGCGGAGCTAGCTGTCACTGCTAGCTCCGCACAATCGTTTTCTATTTATTTTTTTGTACTTTTTAACAATTTTTCTGTTCCGCAGACCGAAGAGCAGTGAGTAGCCTGCCGGAAGTTCGGCTTAGCCGACCCTTCTGCACTTCGGGTCGGCCGAACATGCCGAGCATGTTCGGCCGACCCGAAGCCACCCGATGTACGACTGATTTCAGCCGATATACTGCTGAAATCAGCCGTACCAGCCTGAAGTGAATAACCGAACAGCGTACGGCTCACTTTGCTTCAGGTCGCTCGTTCACTCGGCTGCCTACGGCAGGTGAGTGAATATAACCCTATGTATTAAATCATTATATGTGTAACGGGATCTCTCGTATACACCGTTTTGGGCCGCGGGCCGGCCTCTCGATGCAGCAGCATGACGTCACTAGGAGACGCGGCCGGCGCTCGTGACTCCGCCCACCGTATCAGTCTGCTTCCCTTAAAACAACACGAGTTGCACTACCTCGGCGTTCTAGTATTACTAGCGTCGGGCCATTGCAACTCGCAAGCGAACCCCAGTACAAGGACCTTCCCCCTCAAGGACTGAAACCACGGAACAATTCAGGAAGTTACCTCTCTCATGCTGGACACTCTGCCATGCCTGGTTCACTGATTGATTCCTGGCACTCGCTGTGCAGCTGACTGGGAACATCCAGTGGGAGTCACCTCTTCTAATCGCAAGTAACCCTGCCTGATTCAATCTATCATAGAATGTGTCATCTGGGGGTTTAAAGTGACTGTGCACATTACACTGCCATTCTAGACTGCTTAACTGTATGTGGCGAGTTAGAGGTACTGCAAGATTCCAGCTCATAGTCTGATCCTTCTCCAGTGCATTATTGACTAACCTTACTCCTAACCTAAAGTGATAGCTCATAGTCTGATCCTTTTCCAGTGCATTATTGACTAACCTCACGCCTAAACTAAAGTGATAGCTCATGTCCACTCCCTTCTGTAGGGGATAAAAACTCTTCCTAATTCTGAATTACCTTCGGGTATCCTGAGATTGGCATATGATGTTTTAGAGGGTTCCACCATCACTCCAAACCATACAGAGTGTGAAAGTGAACCCTTGGGCTGAGCCAAATCTAATTCAGGTATCAAGCTACTCTCCGCAGCTGAGATCCCTCGGTATAAGCCAGCCGATCGTTACAATATGTTTTATATCCATTTTATTCTCTAAATATTTTGATGCATTTTATTAAAATTTAAGAGCACCTCTATAAAGTAAATGTCACTGTAGACTGAGAGTTAAGTATAATTAAAGACAAAACTTTTTTTTTAGATTAGGTAGGGTGGTGATGGGATAGAACCACATTCAGATTTTTTTTGTAGTCTGTGTCTCCGTTCCAGGAGATTCCATATGTCTAATTGTCCAATCACCAATATCAGCAGGAATAAAAGGGGGTTAATTACAAATATTGCTGTAGTTGCCACAGGAACAGGAGTAGAGGGGGCATCTTCCAATGGGCATACTTGTTGCCTGCATGATAGGGGTTTTCCCTCACATTGAAAAGATATTCTCTAATTTCCGGTTGAGTCTACAAGACAGGAAGGGAAATGAAATCTCCCTAATGAGACACAGATGGAAGTTTTGTGTTAGGTATAGTTTACTAGCTTTTTGAGTTGGGTGTTAAAAACACAAAGGAAAAAATGTTATGCCTTGATAACACTTCCCTCAAAAATTCCAGGTTTTAAAAATGCCTTAAACCTTTCTCCTTGACGTATCAAGCATTATTATCACAGCAATTATTATCACAACTGATAATAATGCTTGAAATACTTTTAGTATGCACTATGTGATACTATTATTTACAGTTTTGTGTAACACAGAACGTGTACCAAAATGACCAGTTAATTAGTCACATATTATAGTAGGCGTTTTGAAATCAGACTATCAATTGACAGTCCAGCGTTTGGATTTATTTTTACCTGTGATTTCTTGGTCACCTTTAAACCATCTTATATCAGCAGCTGGTTTACTACCAGATGTTTTACAAGTCAGCTGAATTATGTCCCCCTCCATAACCGGTGATGTAAATCCAGTGATGTGGGGCTTTTCAGGAACACCTAAAAAGACACAAAGGAAAACACATAATGAACATATATGTGTATCTATTCACATCATTTTCATTTAAACTAAATATATACGTGTATAACTCCAAGAGGATGGTAGGGCTGCCTAAGTACGTGGCAGTTTTGCTTTGCCATTTTAGGGTCCTAGGTCTCATTTTCATCAAAGATTATATTTACATGGTGTTTGTATATTATTCCTTTCGCTGCATTCGTTTTCTCTTAAAAATTTAAAAACACTGCCTTACCTTGCTCTCACCCAAAATGAGCCCTGTAAAACTGTGTAAGACTGGGATAAGAACATTAAAGTATGTTAGGTGGGGAGGAGGGGTGTGGCCTGCCACAGGGTTGTGTGTGTCTATGGATGCACACAGCCACTGCAGGCATGGCTGTGAACGAGCATGCGCGTGTGCCCCTACAGCAGCCACTTAGCTGATGGAGGCACCCAATGCGGGGGGCAGGGGAAAGCACTGTGGGGACCCACTAAAAAACAAGGCTCTGAAGAATTTTTAAAAAACGAAACAATTTCTATATAAATGTAGTCTCCTAGTAATAAAAATAATAATAAGGTTTAATATCACTTTACATTGGAAAAAAAGCTACAAGAATAAGTAAAATAAATTAATATTACACCAACAATAGAAAATAAAATATATACATATGGTATTGTCCTAAATAGGGGAGAAGGAGAGCAGATTGGCTGCAGCCTTGTGAGACACCATAGGCTGACAGCCCAGAAACAGGGAGCATATCGAAAATCCGGCACGGATTTCCGGATATTGTGACAGTTTCAATAGTTATATTTATATAACATTACCAATTATATAAAAATTCAGCCTAAACAGTGGTAATATGAATTAAAAATGTATTCTTTTTATAATATATGTGAGTGTAATATAATTAATTATTGTTCTAAAAATATTCAGGCAACCCTATCCATATTTTATCGCTTGTTGTTCTTCTTAGTGGTCTCTTTGATCTTTTTAGTGAAAAGAATTAGCACAACATTTGAAGCAAATAAACTTCAGCATAACATTTTTCTGCCAATTCCTAATGCACAATGTATTTATTTGCTGAATTTAACAAACAGAAAACAAACAAAAAAGAAAAGGATAGGATATAAAAAAACAACTGATCCAGTTGAGAAACTATTTTTTATGGGTTCCAGAACTATTTTGTCCTATTAGGCCTTAATCCAAGTCCAGTGAAGACAATACTAAAGATTAAAAAAACTCTCTGATACTTGGAACCTCCCAAAGTGTTGTTCTTACACCACATCCTTCCATAGGTAGCTGTCTGAGAACTGGAAAATAAAAATTCTCATTGATTAAACAGGCAGTGGCTATGAAAAGTTGTTTAAACCCTTTCTGAATATACTGTACATTTTATGGACAATGCTGCAAGTTAAAGGAGAACTATGAGGTGAGTGATTTCCACTCATCCTCATAGTTAGAGCCGACCTGTGACAAAGAAGCTGTCACAGGTCGGCTCTATTGATCAGGAAGTGAGCAGAAACATGCAGCGATCCGCTCACTTCCCAATCGTCTCCTTACAGTGAGCGGTGACTGTCAGTCATCTATATCAGTTTGACCTATATTATCTATTATCTATAAATTCATTCACAGAAACATGTCACCTTTATGTTTTTTCCCTTACGTTAACATTTTACTGACACAAGTCACAACCCTTGTAGTTGCACAAGGGGAGTTTAACTTTTTTTAGTCTGTACATGCTATCATCATCATTGATCATAAATTTGATCTGAAAATGTGATTCCGGGAATACAGTTAAGTACACAATTGAAATACATATAGAATTTATGAACTATTTTTTTATCCAAAAGATTTTCCAACTTGTACCTGTGTCACCTGCCTGCTCTCTGGACGATGGGCCTGATTTACTAGACATTATATGCAAGATAAGTCATATTTTTATATTGACTTGCCATGATTGGGTATTTGTGCGTACTTCAACTCAATTCACAATTTATTAATTAAGTTGTCTTTTTAGCTGTTTTCCCAGAGCTATGCATTAAACAAATTACATTTTAAATGGTTTTATTAGTTACATCAACAAAAGAATATAATAAGCCAGGTACAATGGTAAGCACATTTACTGACACTGTGGCTGGCTAAGAAATTGGAAAAATCTAAATCAATGTAATAATCACAAATTTAAATCCTAAGCAGTTTGTATATGGAAATATTTTCCCTTTTGCAATATTTTTTAATATGCCACCCCGTCAGTTCATATGGAGGATTTAGCTAGACATTTATACTTTGGCTCCAAAGATGGGTCTCCATGGAAAAGCTTTAAGCTGAGGAAGTTATTATCCTAAAATACTGAGCTTAGAATGGGTAGTTTTTGTCCTTAATGGCAAACTTGTAAAGATTCTTTTTGTAAAATAGTCTCAGTGGGGCTTAAAGAAAAAACAGCTTTCACATGCTATGCACAAAACCAATTCTCTAGCTGGATTAACTTTAATATGACTGGCATCCAGCATTAGTCCTATTAAGTGAAAGAGCCTGGTATTCTAAAATAACTGAAGTTCAGGGACAGAAAAAAATCAATCTCTAAAATTATATAACAGGTTAGGAACATAGGCGTGTTTGCAATAAACTATGGCAATTTCATCTGATTCAGCTGCTGACATTCAATGAATCTCATAGAGTGTTGAGTTTAAGTGTTATTTCGTGGCTTTCTCGATGAATCTTTCATTTTTAGTGTCACTGAAACCCTCAGAGGAAAAAAGGAGAGATCATTTAGGGAATAAAGTATAAATGGCAAAGTGCTCCCAATAAAACAACAAAAACTAATAGTGGACGGCAGAAATGACAGATACCAAGAAAAACACTAAGCCAAGAAAAAAGTAAGCAGCTATAAAACTTCCCTTAATTTTAGAGTTTTATGGCCACCATGTCCTTGAAAATATATAGTTGAAAGGTTTAAGTTAGGATGTGGCCAAAACCAAGTCCCTTAGGGACAATTGGACAAAATATAAAGAGAAACTAGAAAGAAATAGAGGAAAAAAGTTTCAAGAAACTATTCAGTGCCTATACTATAAATAAGTATTATTTATATAGTGTCTTATTTTTAATGTAGCCGATCCAACATCTGAATTGGCTAAGCCGAACCTCCGGCAGGCTACTCGCTGCTGTGCGGCCTATTCTCATAGATGCCGAACAGCAGTGAGTGAATAGCTGAATGCCGCCGAGCAGCATTCAAATCAGTTGTTCTGCTCGGTACCTCTGTGGGACCGAGCAGAAAAGAAAAATAGTTTAAAAAGTAGTAACAAATAAAATAGAAGATGATTGTGCGGAGCTAGCAGTGACAGCTAGCTCCGCCCAACTGTTTTCTATTGGCCGGGCGGTTCTGCTGCTGTCAGATTTAAAAAAAATCACCATAGGAATGCATAGCTAGATTTTGATTGGCTATTTCAATTTGCAATAGCCAATAGCAAACTAGCTATTGCACCCACCCTCTGCTGCTGTCAATCATTAGAGGGGACCTGATTGAGAACTTCAGGTCCCCTCTGCTGAATGACAGTAGCAGTGGGCGGGTGCAATAGCTAGTTTGTTATTGGCTATTGCAAATTGAAATAGCCAATAGGAATACAGCTATGCATTCCTATGGTGATTTTTTTTATTCTGACGGCAGCCAACGGCTCCGATGTCAGAAGAAAAAAAAACAGAGCAGGGAAAGGTTTACTCTGCTCGATCGAGCAGAGTAAACCTTTCTGGGAGAAATTGTTTATCTCCCGGGCGGCCGGGAGCCACTATCTAATAGTGGGAGACTCCCGGAGCGCCCGGGAGAGTTGGGCTGCCTGGAGATCAGTGTCCCTGGTTACCTGGTAACCAGGGTCACTGATCTGTTTGTGCAAGTGGCCGGAGCTAGCTTCGGCTTTCACCTCGGCTCAGTCGAGCCGAAGCATATGCCTTTGGCTCGACTGAGCCGCACGTCCGACTTCAGGAACTATAGGGCTATAGTGAATAGCCCTTACAGCAGCGGTCCTGGGGCCACATCTAGCCGAAGGATCAGCCGAAGCTAAGGCTAGATTCTTCGGCAGCTTAGTGAATAGACCCTTAGATGTTTTCCAGCTGGGTCATTGGGAGAAACTTAATCCTTGTTGTTCTGTTAGCTGTACATAATTTCTAGTTTATTTATATGGTAATATGATATTCTGTAGTGCTTAGTACAAAAAATGCTGAACAATGTATATCAGTTTCTTTACCTGAAAGGAGCTTAGCTTGAAATGTCAATATAAAAATACTGTGGAGAATTGGGGTAATGGACTTTCTTGTATGCTTTTGGATTGTAAAAAACAACTTTTTTAGAAGTAATGGAGAGCTAAATAATACAATACAGAAAGGAATTTGATAGAAGTATCAAGGTTCCAGTGCTAGCTCCTGTGTGACCATTGCCTATACTTTACAGAACCTACTAAAAATGTTAGCTACCTAGCTGCTTACTGCAATACGTTCAGAGTTACAAGCATGAAATATGTGAAGTTAGATTAAAATTTGATCTCCCGATCTGCATACAGGCTCCAAGTCAGTGACTCAGAGAATGTTAAGGCTGCTGGATTAGCATGACCTCCTGGCAACTAGCATTTAAAAAAAGGTCAGCAATGGCAACCTACAGTATATGATCTTTTCAGTATAGTTTTTTTATGTTATCAACTTTTTAGTAACCATTGAACTATGCAAAATACAAAATCAATGGCACATATTTAACGACAGGTGTGAAACAATTATAAATTATTTTTGAGATTTTGTTCTAGTCTATGGATAATTTGACATTTCTTTACAAATGTGCCCTTTTTATGAATACTGAATCTATCTGACATCAAAATGCAATTATAAAATGCATGCATTGGTTTTTGGACTTAATAAGATAGCAAGAAAATGTACTCACCCAGAACTGTTAGGTAAGCCTTGGATGTTTTGACAGGCATCGTAAATAAGGAGCAAGTATACAGGCCTTCATCTGACAAAGAGACTTCACTGATGCTGATACTCAGTTCATGCCAGGAAGCTCGGATAAGTTCAATTCTGTTGTCCCTTAGAGCTGAAGAAAATATGACATTATTAGTCTAATTTTTGCTTATGTAATTAATAAGTCCTATGTGTGAACTATAATATAGAGATATCTTGCTGCACTCCTTGCATAAGTAGTAACCTGATAAACAGGTGGGTGACCACGGATGTCATCATCAACAAACTGAAATATCCAAAGAATGACACCAGCACACCAGTATTCAAAGTAAAATTAGCAAAAGTCCATTTATTGAAGGAACAATGCCATTCAAAAACAAGTGCTCTCAGGCCCACACAGGGTCCCCTTCATCAGGCTCATTCTGATGCATAAAGACTGTTAATTATTTAATGCTCCTGTTTGGAAAGTATCTTAAGTTTGATGGTTATCTGAATGTGACTTCTTAAATATATGGACTTTCAAATACAATACCGTGTAGATTACTGTCTATAGTGGATGACACATTTTTAATTGGAATTTCACTTGTTATTTACAAGCCCTGATTGAGTGGAGGCACTAGCGTTTATTAAAGATCCTGTCCTGTTCACACAGATTTATAGAAGACTCTGCTGCTTAATACCACACAGGTGGCGCCACAACACCCCAGTAGTCGCAGAGAATGTAAAATAGTGCTACATTTGGAGGAAATGCTGAGATAAATATCTTGGATCAGGACATTAAGGAAATACCATGTCACTGTTATCAACAAAATCTGTGAGGCAGTGGGCACAGGAAAAGGGACTGCCATCTAAAAGGACATTTCCTATATCATGTGAACCTATCACTGTGAGCACTCACAGATGCAGGAGGTGCTAAAAGCAAATGAAACCTTGCAGTATACAGAAAACAAAGGTTTTCTCTAGTGATCTTGACCTGATTGAAACTGTCCATTATGCCTAATATAGATCACAATATCTTTAAGAGGAGGATTTTTTCATTTTAAAGTCTGAATATTTTTTGTACTCTTCATCCCAATCCTCATTCAACAAACTGGGCAAAGAGTCCAAAGAGTCTGACCACTTAGGCAGCCATTATGAGTGTTTACTTGTACTGATTATCCTTCGCTTCTGCTACAAAAAAAAACAGTCGTGCCAAGAATGTTGAAATTTGTGGCTAATTTAAAAGCAATCAAATTAACTGATTTTATCAAGTTGAGTTGAACATAGGACTAAACAAGGGATTAATGCAAATAACGCCTGTCTGATGTTCAAGGAGATAATGTTAATATTAGCTACATTTTCAAATGTATGTGTTGTTCTTTTTTTTATTAATTTACCAAAACACTCTTATAAATAAAAAATATTTGAATTGAAAATGAACATTGAGACTGAAGCCTGATAATATATGCTGAATAGAGGAAACAGGTTACTAGCAACAATTTCTTTCAACAATTTGTGTTGATTACTATTGACAAGAGATGGCTGGACATAATTTCAACCACTGAAATAATTTTTATCACTCTGCCCTAATGTGGATTAAGTGATTGGAAGTTATGGGTTAACAGCTTATCTGCAATGCATGTAAAAAGGTAATTTCTTGAAACGTTTACTATCCAACATCTTATTAAGAAAAAGACCTCAATCATCAATGCATAGAACACCAGGGAATTACCTACAACATCCCACAGCCAGTCACGCTTAGCAGAAATTCATTGGTATTAATAGGAATAACATACTTGAATCAAAGTCTGAAATCAAATCTACAACATAAAGTAGACCAGTAATAAACATAATTAGTGTACAGTTCACTTGTTCTAATTTGCAGCATTCACATCTCATTGAGAAAATTTATAGGCCTCTTAAACAAAAAATGTGTATCTGGAATGGAGGAATGAATTAATTAATTAAAATACATTAAGGCCATTGAACATTGCATTCAGCCTGTGCCCTTTATTTTGTTCAGGTACAATGTAATAGATGCTTAGGAGATGCAAATAGTGTACTTCACCCAAACAATGACAAGTGTCAAATTGTTTATCAGGAGTCTCAGTTACCAGGTTATTGTAAAAATCAGATTAGTTGTATGGTGCATAGATTTTGCACATAACCCGAATACAACAAGTTTATAATGCATTTACATTGACATTTACTTTAAGTTTGGGTTATTTTACAAGTACAAGATTAAGCCTGAGCTTCCAGAGTAGTTATCTTTAGCTACCTGACATACACATTTAACTTTGCCCTAGAGCACAAAACTATGTCCTGTCAAAAGCAGGCACCTCTAGGCAAGTTCAGACATATTCAGTTTTGTACTAGAGGACCCAGAAGCCCCAAAACTATAAGTGCTCAATTATGAAAGCCCCAACTTCACCTAAGGAACTATTGCTTACCCCTTCACCTCCTGTGATTCCCCTTTGCTTGGTGAAGCAGCCCATTACAGTAATGGGCCAATAAGTAGATCAGAGACGGTAGGGGTCAAACACTGTTTTCTCAGGTTATGTGTATAATATAGAAAATGTAAAATCTGCGCTTATGGGTAGGTCTGATATAAAAGCTGCTGCACTGTAAACCCTAGGGTAAAAAATGGATGAAGTGTAAATTGTGCAGCGCTAAAGGTGATAATAAATTGAATATTTAAATATATAAATATCGCAATCTGAACATATATTATATAATTAACACAATATAAATAGTACTCGTGTATATAGTGCAAAACCTTAATCCAGTAGTGGTGGTAAAATAACTATTAAATAACCACAGTGTAAAAAATATTATTTCACTCTTGTGTCATCATGGTAGTGAAAAATGATTCCTAGATAATATCACAAATTGTGAATGGCTCATTTGCCAGTAAAATATATAAACCGTAAAATGTCTGATTTTGAAACAGTCCCAATAGGTGAAAAATCAGTGATGTACTTCCGAGTGAGTCCGATGAAGACTTCAAACAAATATTTAAAAAATAATAACTCAATAGATAAATTCTTCCCACACCAACGTGTTACAAGTGTCTCCGAATTGCCCCCTTTCGGGTGTGCACTCACCCCACTGCTGAGGTGATAATGCAGCGATATCAGATCAGGGGGTCCACATCTCAGATGTCTCTTTCGGCAGTGTTCCGTCCGTTTATGGATTTATATAATTATAAAAGAAACCTCCTCATGGTGTGGTAGGCATAAACGTTTATTTTAAAAAACATAGAAAAACTTACAGTTTAAAATCGAGAAACCGGCCGGTGTAATGTAGCATCTCAATCGCCTGCTACTTCCTGGTTTGTCGTGGTATCAGTTAGAATAGACCCGCCCCTTAGGGATAAGAATTTATCTATTGAGTTATTATTTTTGAAATATTTGTTTGAAGTCTTCATCGGACTCACTCGGAAGTACATCACTGATTTTTCACCTATTGGGACTGTTTCAAAATTCAGACATTTTACGGTTTATATATTTTACTGGCAAATGAGCCATTCACAATTTGTGATATTATCTAGGAATAATTTTTCACTACCATGATGACACAAGAGTGAAATAATATTTTTTACACTGTGGTTATTTAATAGTTATTTTACCACCACTACTGGATTAAGGTTTTGCACTATATACACGGAGTACTATTTATATTGTGTTATTATACAATATATGTTCAGATTGGGATATTTATATGTGTATAATAGTTTTTAGGTCCTTTAGGGACACTCTAGGACAAAGCACACTCTGCAAAGCAGAACTGAGAGTCCCATGCAATTACAATTAGACTGGTGGGAGAGGGTTACAGTGAGTGTTGTGTTGAGCATGTTACAACGAACTCACCCAAATGCAAATCTTCTAGTGCTGCCACAAAAACAGTTACAAAGGTACACAGAACAGAAAGTGCCCCGCACTCCCCTTTTAACCATACCTGGCCAGCACATTTTGCAAATTTTCACTTTTTTATTTTACATTTTACAGCTGTAGCTTTCAGAGTTTGTAAAAAAAAAACCAAACTATACATTTTCTGAAATGACAGTACCGGTAGAATAAAAAGATGGTGCTACAGATTTTGTAGATCCTGTGACAGTTGTGCAAATATTAATCAAACCGATATTTTTAATACAACATGTACAAAAATCATTATTAGCACACAAAAAACATAATTTCCTAATGATATGTTATGAAAAAATAATGTTTCCTCACACTGCTCACTACCCACTAGTGTCCAAGCAAACAAATTTAAAATCAAAGTTAAAAAAAATATTTTATTGATATACACATGGATATGTATGTACAGTATATACTGTAATTATGTTACTACCAAGTATACCATTTGAATAATACATATAGATTTTCTTCCCTTCTGTTTAATCTATATTTTATTAATGATTTTTTTTTTTACTTTCTTGACAATCATTTTAGCTTTTTTTAATAGCTGCAGAGACAGGAAGATGAATAGAAGACCCAACTGCTTGACCTTTCATTTTTCTTTATATTATATGACAGCATAAAGGTAGAATTTATAAATGATAATAAGGAATATAATCTCAATATGTCAGCTTCTATTATTAAAAAAGCATAGAAAAAATGAATCCGTTATTGACAACAATGATGTATGAAGTGAAAATGATTATCCACAAAAATGAAAACTTAACTCTACCTTCTTGACATATTAAATCCTATAATGTTCTTTTTATAATTCAATTACAGGGAATACATTAATTTGCAATATATATATATATAG